TCTGGCTCCTCTCCTCCTGCCAGCCCCGTGTCACCCAGAAATCATGACAGGGTGGGATATTTTTAAATTTCCATCCCTCTATTTCCTGTAATTAACGCAACACCTGCATTTTCACAGCCCCAAAAAGAACCCGAATCATCCCTTTGAAGCAAAGTGATGCCAAAGGCCATCAGAGGGATGGGAGCTGGCACAGCTTGGGATGAAGGAAATGTTTGCTGGGAATGATGGTGCCAGAGCATCCCAAATCAGGCTGTGCTCCCGGCCAAAGGGATGTGAAACCCCCCAAAAAAGGGCTGCTTTGGGGTCTTGGCCTTTTGGAGCGGGGAAAACTGTGGATCAAAGGATAAAATTCAAGAAAATCGCAGCAACATGAAAGGAGCCGTCCCTGTGATGCTGGAAACGCGGCTGGGAATTCCAGGGGTGCAGGAGGAGCAGCCAGGCACCGGCTCCAGGGACCAGCGGTAATTAGAGCTTCCGAGTGCCTCCAGGTCATTTGCCTTTTCCTTGGATAACATAATTTCTATAGGGCTTGTTGTCTTATTAGAGAATTAATCTAAATCTGGATGCTTTGCCGGCGGCTGGAGCCATCCCGAGGAGGGTCAGGGGCAGGTCCCGTGCGTGGCGTGCGGGGGGAAAAAAACGACAAAACTCCAAAGGGGAGGTCAGCTGGAGGCTACGGGGGAGGAAATGAGCGATTTCTTAAACAATCAGGGAAGTTGGTGTCGGCCTGGAGACGTAATTTAATTTGTGTCGTTAGAGCCGGGCTGGGGCGGCTGCTCCCGACGAAGCAAAATGCTCTCGTTAAGGCAGAATTGTCATTAGTGGGATAATGAGGGGAGGGGGAATGGCAGAGGGAACGTGGAGGGAGGGGGAAGAGCAGAATTCCGAGCGCTGGGGAGAGGGAGGGACCGCGTGTGCCCAGGAATGAGGGGGATGGGATGGGATAATGGGATGGGAAATGGATGGGATGGGATGGGATAATGGGATGGGATAATGGGATGGGATCCATTGGCTGGGATGGGATCAGTGGGATGGGATCCGTGAGATGGGATGGGATGGGAAATGGGAATGGGATAATGGGATGGGATTAATGGGATGGGATCCATGGGATGGGATGGGATCCATGGGATGGGATGGGATCCATGGGATGGGATAATCGGATGGGAAAATGGGATGGGATAGTGGGATGGGATAATGGGACGGGATAATGGGATGGGATAGTGGGATGGGATAGGATCCATGGGATGGGATTAATGGGATGGGAACGGGAATGGGATGGGATCCTGAATCCTCAACACCAGGCGCTGCCTGGAGCTCTCCACCCTCAGGTCTTTAATATTCCCACTAAAACCCCATCTCCAGCCAGATTTCCATGAAAATGCCCCACCCCTATTTAAACCATCCCCGAGCGGGGCAGCTTTGCCTTCGGGGATATTTCCCTGCTGGTGCAGGAGATCCCACAGGAACATCCTCCTCCTTCCCTTCCCTCTCTGGAAGGCTTGGGAAAGGCACTTGCACCCTCCCGTGCCCGCATCCACAAACTGCAAGGCAGCGTGGAGGAATCCCGGCTGGATCCGCAATCCCGGCTGGATCCGCAATCCCGGCTGGATCCGAAATCCCGGCTGGATCCGCTGGGCAGGACAGGGATGGAGCAATCCTAGCCGGACCCCCCTGGCTGGCACAGGATGCTGGGCACGGCCAGGGATGGAGCAATCCCAGCCGGATCCCCCCTGGCTGGCACAGGATGCTGGGCAGGGATGGGATGGAGCAATCCCAGCCGGATCCCCCCTGGCACACGCTGCCCACCATGGGGAGGAAGCTCTGCTGTCCCCTCGCTGCTGTCCCCTCCCAAGTTTCTTCCCGTTGCAGCATCTCAGGGGAAACCACTCCAAAAATCCCTTCCAGGGCTCACCTGGATGTCACCTGAGAGAATCCTGGAATGGTTTGGATTGGAGGGACCTTAAAGATCACCCAGTGCCACCCCTGCCATGGCAGGGACACCTCCCTCTGTCCCAGGTGCTCCAAGCCCTGCCCAGCCTGGCCTGGGACACTCCAGGGATCCAGGGGCAGCCACAGCTGCTCTGGGCACCTGTGCCAGGCCCTGCCCACCTCCCAGGGAACAATTTCCCCTTAATGCCCTAAAATCGAAGGATTAATGAGTGAAAAGGCAGATTGGACCTTCAGACTGGAACCTGGTGAATAATTAGAGGTTGACCCGAGCTGAGGGCAATGGGAGGAGAGCTGGTACTGACTCCTGAGCTCCAGAGGGGACCTCAGCCCCTTGGAGCAGGGAGCTGGAGCCCAGCAAAGCCCAGCTCAAGCCTCCAGGCTCCAGGGATCTGGGATCCAGCTCCAAGGGGGTGAAGATCCCGTGTGAGACTGAGGGTTGTGGCTTCCAGTCCTGCAGACTTCTGGGGAACTTCTGGTGAGAACTTCTGGGGAACTTCTGGTGAGAAACTCATCTCCCTGTGCCCAGAAAATGCTGAGAGCCCAGGAAGTACCAAGAACACAGTGGGAACAAGCTAAAACAGCTTCATTTGGGAAAAAGTGTTCAGTGGAGAGAAAAGAAACGTTCCCAGGGGAGCTTTGGCTCTGGCAATGCCCAGAGGCCTCCCACGCCTCAGCAACCCCCTCTGCAATGGCACAGGTGGGGAAATGGGAAGAGATTCCAGGTAAAAGCACACCCCCCCACCCCCCAGCCCTGCAGCAGGGAGCAGAGCAGGAGCCCACAGTGCTGGGATGCCATTCCCAGCGTGTTCAACCCTCCAACACAGTGAATCAGTGCTTTATTTCAACATGGAGAGGTACAAGACCTGCAGTGAGCTCCAGGCAGTGAGCTGGGCTGGCAAACCTGCCCTGGTGCCCTGGGATCCGTGGGATTGAGGGAAAACACGCGGAGGGAAAAGCCCACGAGGTGTCCCCGAGTGCAGCTGCACCAGCAGCACAGCCCCTCTAAACCCACGGCTCAGCAAACAGCCTTTTCCCTCTTTCAGGATCCTCGTGTATCCCTTCCAGAGGAGGATTTGGCTCCTGGACCAGGGAGGGAAGGCCAGGAACGAGGCACTGAATTGAGGAGGAGCAGTGTGGCAGCCCTTGGGAGCACTGAGGCAGCACAGCCACGATCCTGAGCCTGAGCGGTGCCAAGCGCAGCTCTGGGGCCCAATTCCAGCCTCCCTCCCAGCAGGGCAGAGCCAGGAGGGAGCCGAGTGCCCCTGGAATTTATTGCACAGTGCTGGATCGGGTGTAAGGCCAGGGCAGAGTCGAGGACCCCGGAGTGGAAACGTCTCTGCAGCGTGGGAGGTGGGCAGAGGGGGAAAACACCTGGATGCTGCCCAGAAAACATGTGGGACCATAAAACATCCCCGCCCCAGCACCCTGGAGGGTTTATATAGGGCAGTTCATACCATGATCCCAGCCCAGAATAGCTCCAGGGATTAGTCCTGACCCTGGCCTGGGCTAATCCTGCCTTAGTCCCTGCAAGTGGCAGCGGAGCCTCCCTGGAGTGCATCCAGTGCCTGCCTGGGCTCTGGACACTGTCAGCAGCAAACCCTCCCCGAGCTCAGCACAGGCACAGCAGCTCCTTGGATGGAGCTGGAGCAGCCCCAGGGAGGAACTGGGCCAGGGAAACCAGGAGAGAACCAAGATAGGGAAAAGAGGAGAGAACCAGGACGGAGAAACCAGGAGAGAACCAGGGGAGAACCAAGATAGGGAAACCAGGACAGAACCAGGACAGGGAAACCAGGAAAGAACCAGGACAGGGAAACCAGGAGAGAACCAGGACAGGGGAACCAGGAGAGAACCAGGACAGGGGAACCAGGAGAGAACCAGGACAGGGGAACCAGGGGAGAACCATAACAGAGAAATTGAGGGGAACTGGCACAGGGAAAACAGGGGAACCCTGACAGGGAAATCAGGGAATAAAACCTTGACAGGGAAACCAAGGGGAAACCGTGACCAGGAAATCAGGGGAAAACTCGGAGCAGGAGCTTCCTCAGGGTTGCTCCTGCTGTGGGTCCTCTTGGCAGGACAGCACATCCCAAGGAGTGAAGGCAGGATTAGCCCAGGGCAGTGCCAGGTGCAGCAGCTCACTTATTTTTCCGTCAGGTCAGCTTTACCTAAAAACAGAGGAGGAGCAATCAGGGCTCGTGTTTCTTCCTCCAGAATCACCAGCCCTTTGTAAAATGGAGGTTTTGCTACACAACATCACCAGCACCACAGCCTGGCCAGCAGGACAGCAGCTCATGGCCCGGAATTCAGCCTCCTGAGGCCTTTCCTCCACAGCCTTTCCTTCCACAACTTCCCCAGGGAGTGGCCAGCAAAGCCCCCCAGTGCCAGCCCTGCCCTCGCTTTGCACCCCCAGAGAAACCCCCCGAAACTCAGCCACCCCTCAAACCCACGGAGACCCGGGGTGCTGGTGACACCAGCCGAGCTCGGGGAGCCCCGAGCTGAGCACACTGAGCCAGATTTATCCCTGGCGTTATCAGCAGGGCCAAGGCCGCCCTGCTGAAAGCAGCACAGCGCTGCCAGCCTGCATGACTCCGGGGCTGGGACAGCTGCCAAGCCACAGCCGGTACCTTTCGGGAGGAACTTCAGCGAGCTGCTGAATATTCAGAAGCGGGACTGGCCCCTCTTGGGCCCATCGTTGAGGAACTCGTGGCCCAGCCCGTTGCCACACTTGCCACACGTCACCTGGAGAAGCAAAGGGAAGGGTTGGCAGAAATCTGGTTTTGATGGAGAAGCAGCCCGGGGGTGATTTTTGCTACAGCCCGAGGGTTCGGGGGTATTTTTTGTTCCAGCCCGAGGGTTTGGGGGTATTTTATGTTCCAGCCCGAGGTTCGGGGAGTGTTTGTTGTTCCAGCCCGAGGGTTTGGGGGTATTTTCTGTTCCAACCCGAGGTTCGGGGAGTGTTTGTTGTTCCAGCCCGAGGTTTGGGGGTATTTTATGTTCCAGCCCGAGGTTCGGGGGTGTTTGTTGTTCCAGCCCGAGGGTTCGGGGGTATTTTCTGTTCCAGCCCGAGGGTTCAGGGATGTTTTTTGTTACAGCCCGAGGTTCGGGGCTGTTTTCTGTTCCAGCCCGAGGTTGGGGATGCGCACCTTTAGGGCTCCCGGGCGCTCCTCGCGTTTGGCCACGCTGTCCCCGCGCAGGGTCTCGGTGAACGCCGGCCACGGCGACGAGTGCTCGTACTTGGCCCGGCTGGAGAAGAGCTCATGGCCACACTTGGCACACACGTAAATACCTGCGGAGGGGCCGGGTCAGCGCGGGGACACGGCACCCGCAGGGCACCCCCAGGGCAAGCAGGGGGGTGCAGGGGCAGCACCCCCACGTAGAAGGATCCCCACAAGCGGCTCATCACGGAGGATTCCCCCAGCGGGACCCCCGCCCGGACCCACGGCTGGAGGATGCTCCGCAGAACGAAACCCCCCGGAACCCCCCCAGCCGCTCACCCGGCGGGTTCCGCCCCGCCGGGGATCCCCCCGGAGCCCGCGGGGAGCCCCCCTCACCCGGCTGGAAGTGGTCCTTGAACACCTCTCCCCCCAGGAAGGAGCAGAAGGACATGGCTGCGCCCGCCGCCCGGCCCGTTCCGTTCCGTTCCGTTCCGTTC